CTTTTTCATTGATTGCTGATTTTATTCTTTGATAAATAATCTTCCACAGGTTCTGTCTGGTTTGCTAACGAGATGAAAGCACTTTGTGATGGTTGTGAACAGTTTATGTGCTTCCCCCCAGGCCACATCTATTCAAGTAAACAAGGTTCGCACTTCATATCTATTTTAAAATCAAATACTGACGTTTCTTGGCTGACTCATATTGTAGTGGACACGCTCACAGATATCAAAGTTGTCAAATTGGTTTTGGTTATGGATTTCCATCTTTTTAGTAAGTTTGTGTTGGGGCTTTTACTGTGTAGTTTCATGGAACAAACCTTTCTTGTAGGTGGGCTTAGGAGGTTGTACAACCCCCCGTGGTTCTCTGAGTTGGTTCCTTCAACCCCATATGATCCCTTAGCGGTGCGCAATACTTTTGAGAAGGTAAATTCTGGAGCTCTATCCTCCTCAAGGTCTCGAATGTCAATTTCATTATACTGTTTGTATAGCTGCACATTCTTCTCTGATATTTGCTGATCTGGTTCTGTGATCAAGCAAGGGGAGGAGCTCTTTGGAGATTACGAGTGGGAGAGGTTTGACTTACTGGTGCTACCTCCGAGTTTTCCTTATGGAGGTATGGAGAATCCAAGAATGGTTTTCCTGACGCCTACTGTTATCAGAGGAGACGCCACTGGAGCTCAAGTTGTAGCTCACGAGCTCGCACATAGCTGGACTGGGAATTTGATCACTAACATCAACAACGAACATTTCTGGTTGAATGAGGTATTTTCTTGATCAGCTCTTCTGATTTCCCAAATATTCTACCTCAGTTTATGCTTCATGGTGAAAAAGATGAGTTAGCTTTGAATTGTCCTGTGCTTTTGCTTCTTTTAGCTACAAATTAGGATGTTTAACTGTTTGTCTGTTTTTAGAGTTTGCCTTGTTGATACTTATTTCATGTTCATTGCAATAGGGATTTACAACTTACGCAGAGAGGAGAATTGTGGAAGTTGTCCAAGGGGCGGATAGAGCTACTCTGAATATTGGCATTGGTTGGAGGGGTTTAACTGATGAAATGGAACGGTTTAAGGACAACTTGGAGTGCACTAAACTGTGGAACAAACAAGAAGGTGTTGATCCAGATGATGTATATTCTCAGGTCCCATATGAAAAAGGATTCCAATTTGTGTTGCGAATTGAGCGCCAGGTAAGTTGAATTGCCGTCTCCACTTGGGTGTTTTGTTATGTAATGTTTACAATAATGGTCATCTATTTACTTTGGAAAACTTTCAGATTGGAAGGACTGCATTTGACGAATTCCTCAAGATATACATTGCTACTTTCAAGTTCAAGTCAATCGATGCAAACACATTTCTTGAATTCCTGAAAGCAAACATCCCTGGCATAGAGAAAGAGATCAACCTACAGCTGTGGACTGAGGGCGTTGGTATACCTGAGGATGCATATGAACTGGCCTCAACCATTTACACAAAGATCATATCCTTGGCAAAAGAGTTTAAGGAAGGAAGGATGCCAGGTGAGGATGATGGTGCTGAGTGGAACGGACAGGAATGGGAGCTGTACTTGGAGAATCTTACTAAATCATGTGAACCTTCTCAGGTACTCTTTACACTTCCTTTCTTCCTCTTAAGATAATAGAAAGTTGCTAGGTGCATTAGACTTAGGTTGAACTAATTGGTAAGCTTTCATAAGGAAGAGAGGGAGAGTAATCAGGTTCAGTAAAGGAAGGATCGGTAATCAGGTTACTAACACCTGTTTGCTTATTGGTGATTCAGGTCATGGCCTTGGACAAGCGGTACAGACTAGCAGAATCGAAGGACTATGAAGTGAAGGTCTCGTTTCTGCAGCTTGCAGTCGCATCCAAGTGCAGAGAGTACCATGGGGAGGATAAAACCGAAGATTCTCGTCCCGAGAAGCTACAGAAACTAGCAGAGAAGACTCCAGCCATTGTTTGAGGATAAACAAGGTTTAAGAATGTTGAATCGCGCACTACTCTTCTTCTCTCAAAGACAATACTTATCCTCTTCTCTAGGAATAGGATTGATGACCAAAAAGGCTCTCTTTTGTTCTTTTTTGGTTCTGGTGTTTTGTAAGACTCCATGGAAACTGAGTTGAGTTAGCAACGAATTGTGAGTTTCTGTGGATGTGTACGTAAAAGTTGCTGGTGATTTTCTGTTTTTGGTGTTATTAGGCAATCCATGAAAGCTTGATACTTCAGATTATGAACGTTGTTCTCATGAATCAGATTCTTTCTTTCTTTTCTCTATCACAAAGCTTCAAATTTTCTTTTTTTTTTTTGGTGTGTAGCTTCAAATTTTCTTTTGTTCTGTAGAAAAGTGTGATTTATCAATCTATATTTTGCTTCACTTTAGTTTTGAGAAATTTGGTTTTTGTTTTTTTTCTTTTTCGGTTAAGAAAGTAGATCTATACCGGAAATAGCAAAGTTAAGTTTGGTACGGTTCAGCCGTTTAGGTCCATCATTGGTTTTCTATAATAATAAGTTAATAACTCAAAAGTAATTGAAACGATTCAGAAAAGAAGAAGAATTATTTTTAATTTGGTTTGGGGTGGTTCGGTTCATACAAATTAAACGGATCTTTATCAAAAACCGGCGTTGGCTATTTCGGGCATAATAGCCTTTTATGTTCGTTATAGACGTAAGGATTAAAATAACATCAGAAGCACTTTGTGGCCTAATGGACAAGGCGTTGTTCTACCAAACCAGAGACTGCGGGTTCGATTCCCATGCAATTTTAATCTTCGTCTTTTGTTTTTGCGCCGAAGCTGCTTTTTCTAACTGTCAATAACATTTTCTAGACTTATATTTATTCAAACCATACAATATCAAAATATATAACTTATTTAAGATAATCATACATAGAAATCTCATGAATTTATTCTTTTTTTATTGTTCAATTATGATAACCATTTTATTTAGTACTAGATGATTACCTACGCTACGCGTGGGTTTGTTTTTAAAATTGTTAAGCGAAAATTATGTTGATTGTTTTTATTGCTAATTTATGTTTACTTTTTTATTTGTTCTTGAGAAGTTAATAAATTAAATCCTAGTTGCAATGTTTATGATTAGATTCAGTTTTGACTTAAAATATCAATTTATATATTTTCATGTATAAATTTGATTATCTATATTTCTAAGATCCTAATATTTTTTCAACATCATGAATACATACAACAATAATATAGAATTTTTTGTACAATTATATGTAATTATGTCATTTGTGTGGTTTGAAACTCGCATAACTTGATTATAAATACAACTTTTTGTTCCGTATAATCTCCTGATCTTTTACCTCAACCACATCGTGATAGACTCATTATTAAATACTGGATAGACATAAATTGAATAAGATCTCAAAATTTCAAAAGTTTTCATATGAAAATGGAAAAAGAAAGCAAAAACTAAAGTGTCATTTAAGTCAATATTTTTAGATCTTCTACCATTGCATTTAGCAGTATAAGAGAAATAGTCGTGTCTTAAATTATTTGGTATGTCACTTAAAAAACTTGCATGTCAATGTTACCAACTTACCATAAGATACAAAAAATAAAAAGAGAGAAAGTCATATGATAAGTCATATATGAACAACAAAACGTAATAATGAAAAAGACTCAAAGTGAAATTACTAAACTAATAAGAGGTTACGTAGCAAACAACTTACCATAAGGTTACGTAGCAAAAAACTTAATTACAAAAAAATAAACTTTCAATAATTATCGAGTGGTAATCATTGATAAAAAAAAATAGTAAAATTAGAAGAATATAATGAAAGTAGTGCTTTTATTAACATAATTATGTATTTTTTCCAATTTAGAATAAATCACTTAAGAGTATTGATGAATGAATTAATGCAATAAAGACACTTTAAATTTTTTCTCATTTAATTAGGCTAATTTTTTTTATTAAAATAATATGAAATGACACATGTCATTTTCTTATGTAATGATGTGGCACTCGAGAGTTGGCATTTTTTGAGCATTGAGGTAAAATCAATATTATAATGTTGATTTAAACCGACCAAACCGGACTAAATTTACTAAATTAGATTTCAAAATTCAAGAAAGAGAAAAGCGGGTCAACTACTTTCATAGGATTCAGACCGGGAAGACAGTTGGGTGACTTTGATTGGTGGGTGCAATTGTATTTATATCTATAAAAAAAAAAAGTTTATTTTATGTTACAATTTTAAGTTTACGCTTTGTTGCTGTTCTCTTCTCTGGAGCCCTCTGGCTGTCTCTCAGATTCTGTAGTCAAGCAAAGCAAAGCAAGTTATTTCGATCCTCGTTGTGTGACGTCGTAAGTGCTTTTCAATTTTGTTAAAATCTCCAAAGTTTTTCTTTTTGTTGGGGTTTTGCCTATATAATTGCAAGTTGTTGTTTTAGTGTGTAGATTTTAGGTACAATTTTACTTTATTGGTATGTGTCGTAGAGATTCGATCAGCAATTTACCAGATGAGATTTACGCGAGAAAGAGA